GCCTTCCTCTATCCATTCCATCTCAAAATTGGAGGGATTTGGCTTTGAAAATGGAGAAAATCGCAAGAAGGGCTTCGAATCACCCAATCCCGAAGCAATTCCTTCCAATTGTTACCACCCATAGCATCTTCTTGAGGCCTAGAACAAAGCCCAAGCATTGGTTGGGATAGCGGAGTTGATTTGAGAACGAATTGGAACTCACCCATTTCTAGGGTTCTTCACGAGTTTGATGGAATTGGAGCCTTTCCAGGCCAAATTGGCCTTGACCACAAGTATAAAGTTTACTCTACTCATTGAGATCTTCATTTCTGTAAATTTTGGTAATTTTTGGAAATAGTTGGACTTTCCGGCGAGCCGGGGTGGCCGACCGCCACCCACGGCGGCCTGTGTGGCGGCGCGTGGCCAGTGGCCAGCCAATGTCATTCTTAGCATGTGTTTAATGTTCTAGGTTCAGTTTTGATAATTGATTGACGTAAATGGAGTAATTGAACCTAAGTTCGTTATGATTTGTGGTTAGGTGAAAATGTGAATTGACGATTCGACCGTTGGATCGTCACCAAACTTTGATACATTGTAATACGTAATATTTGAGGATTATAGGAACTTACGGATTGGGAATCTGATTTACGGATCTTTCGGAATTGGAGTTGTAAGTTCATAAAATAGAATGTTAACCGTCACTTGGTTTTGACAATTGACGGAGATCCGACCGTTGGATGGTACGGAAATTTTAGGATGTTGTTCTAGAGATATATTGTGGACCTCTGAAAGTTATGGATTGGAAATCTGAGTTGCAGATCTTCCGGATCGAACTACGTAGTGACGTGTTTTATATAAGTTATATATTCTATCGATATGATTTATGAGGTTTGATTTGATGATTGTTCTAGGCGCCGATCGTCATGACATCTTGATGTGTTGTGCTAGGGAGTTGTAGGGCAAACTCCAGGTGAGTGGGCAGTTATTTTCAGTTTATACCTATATATTACTGATTTTTCCCAGAAATTTAATTTATATGAAAGTAAGTTTTAAAATGCCATGCATACATAATATATGAATTATATGAATTAGTATTTGATGCATATATATGAAATGGTGTTGTGGACGCATAGGTGAGTATCAGGTGAGTTTTATATGTTCATGTGAATTATTAATGATATGAATTGTGTTGAGAGCTCATAACCTGCACCCCTGGTGTTAGTGCTTACCCCGCACCATACGCTTACCTTGGATCCAAGTAGGTGCATGTCGTACAGACCATAAGAGGTGGTTCCGACATGTCGTACAGACCATTAGAGGTGGTTCCGATTTGTAGGTGACTTTAGATTATTATACAGCTGTTGATGAGAGAAGCACTAGAGCGTATTCTTACACCAATTCTTGTCGTACAGACTACTTCAGGTAGTTCCGATTTATGTGCAGAGTAGTGCCATACAGGTCACAGTGGTGACTCCGGTTGGATTGGATATTGAGCTATAGAATTAACCGTACAGGACAACTGCAGGGTCTCCGGTTGATTCCTTATTTCACATGTTATATTGATGCATCCTTATCATGTTTTGAAGCATAGCATGACATATTTCTTGAAAAGTGTTAAATATTTGTGATTTGGGTTATTTACTGTTATATATGGTTATATATATACTATTTTCCTGGGAAAGTATACGGGTTTTACATCGAGGGGTTAGCGTTTTGATAATGAGATGATTTTTGAAAAACCTTGTTTTACTGACCCACTCAACTTTGTTTTGCGCCCTTCCAGGTTTAAGATAACAGAGTTTTGGTGGTCACGAGGAATCCAATGGTGTTCTGACAGAATTCACAAAAATAGGATTCACCCTCGGGTGTTACCTCTTAGTAATTGTATCTTTAAAGCTTCCGAACTGTGCAAATGGTTACGTCACTCTCACGTGACAGCCAACATGCCTTCCTTCGAGACGGGGTGTGTCATGAATGGCATCTACCAACATGTTACAACTACTCAGATCATAAAGAAATATTTGTACATTAATTATAATACTTTTTCGAACCTTAATGTAGCTACAATGCAATTTCATTTTTGAGAAAATTAGAATCCCTTGTATTTTTTTAGTACTTTTTAGATCAAACAGTGGTTTTATTTTAAAATTTGATTAAGGCGCTTTTGTCACATCCCCGCCCGGGGTCCACCACATCCCGGGCCCGTTCCACCACCGTAGCACGATATTGTTCGCTTTGGGCCCCGACCACGCCCTCAAGGTTTTGTTTCTAGGAACTCACACGAGAACTTCCCAGTGGGTCACCCATCATGGAAGTGCTCTCGTGCGCTACTCGCTTAACTTCGGAGTTCCGATGGAACCCGAAGCCAGTGAGCTCCCAAAAAGCCTCGTGTTAGGTAGGGATGAGAATATACATTTAAGGATCACTCCTATTGGCGATGTGGGATGTTACAGCTTTAAACAATAGCCACCTCATTATTTTTATATTTATTTAAATACACGTCATTATTGTATTTTTTTTAGAATTAAAATGCTAATTATTGAATTCCAAATATATCCTTGGCAGCTGATATTTAATTGTACGTGACCTTTTTTGTAGGAAGTAATTTCTGATTTGTTGAATTTGAGAACATGGATTTCTTCTACCACATTTGAATTTGTGATCTCCCATTTTTGAATTTTGAATGGGTTTATGCAATTCAATTAGTGGTTATTTTCACAATTTTATCTTCTTGTCGTGTGAGATAATTAGACGTATATATGATATTATTCTGCTACTTCATTCTTGGTTTTCGGTGGTTTGAAAATGGTACGTTGAGCAGGTTTCAGCAAAATTCTGTACTGCTTTAGGTTTATCAAGAGGCTGGTACGTTGATTATCTTCTTAGGCTTTTAGTAATTTATGTGAATATAGAATTGCTCTAAATTATTACTTTAGAAAGAAAAGCTATGATGTTTTGCCTTCCAAGCTATAGTTTGTCGTTTTAATTTGTGGAGAGAGTTTTTCATTCGGAAAATTTCTGGGGATATGCTTTTTGAAGTTTGAAATTCAAGGACAAAAATGATATGTACCTCATTAGTTTTCCAAATTGCAAATAAAGATGATACCCCTTTGGTTTTCAGGTTTGTAGGCACTCTTTCTATTTGGAATAGCGTTAAAATCCCTCCTGAAGTTGCCAAGTCCTGTTTTGCAGCTACGAATATGGAAAGTGAAAAATTGGAGGAAGTCAGAGAGCAAAAACTTGCCCTGTTGTTTGTGATAAGCCAACGAAGTTTGAATCAACTATGCTTGCTGCTGTACAATCTTCTTGTGATACTGATGCTGCTTTTAGTACGGATAAGGAGTCCTAGTCTTACATTGAATTGTAATTCGTGTATGTCTCATATAATTAGTTCATATCCCACAAGGACAAGGCTTATTGTTGTAGTCTCTATAAACATTAGAGCAACTCCACCCATGTGGATTGCTCGGGGGACAAGGGAGAAGAAAGGGCCTGAGGCCCGGTGGACAGTGCTCCAGCCATGGAGAGCCCGAGTGAGGGTGGGAGCCCGAGCACAAGGCCCGTAAGGAATCCACCAGCCTGTAGCCCGAGGGCCAGACATTATTTAATTTTTTTTGTGTCAGCCCGAGGGCCTGCAGCCCCATTTCCAATGTTTTTATTTTATTTTATATTATTTAAACAAACAAAAAAAAAACTAATATTTTATTACATATTGCCAGGGGGAGGGCTCCAAGGGTGGAGATGCAAAAGGTAATTACTGTTCATTAATGGTAGTTACTATTCATTAAAGGCAATTACTGTTCAATAGGATGGATTCAATAGTGAATTGCCAGGGGGAAGGGCTCCAAGGGTGGAGTTGCTCTTAACGTGCACTACTCACTCTATTCATTAAGTATACAAAATTTTGTTCTTTAAGATATCTTTCAGTTTGTTCTTTGATTTTTTTTTTTGTAAATAAATATAAACGTACCAAATACGTAACAGATGATATATGTAATATATCAAATAAATATTTTTTTAAATAAATATAAATGTACCAAATACGTACCATATGATATATGTAATGTACCAATTATATTTTTTTTAATAAATATAAACGTACCAAAAATATATATAATGTACCAAACGCAAGTTTATTAACTAGGTAATTTTGATTTCACAAATTAACCATTACAACATGGTGAAGATATTAGGTTGTTGCTTAGACGGAAGTGCCCTTACTAGTTTATGAGTCCATCACAAACGGGACTCTTGCAAGCCGTATCCACATTAATAAATGCAATACGTAGACTTCTTAACTTAGATTTTCATGGAAAAGAAATACGAACGTACCAAATATTTATCAAAACAATATTAAAGTAACGCACCAAATATGTAGCAAGAAGAAATATACGATTAATCGAAAGCACTAAACAAAGAACAAATAGAAAAGCATCCAAACGAAATAAATGGACAATGTCTTCTACAAACATGATTGAATTCAAATGCACATCTTCTACAAACATGATTGAATTCAAATGCACATATCTGAAATAAACATTGAAAAAAAGCTAAATCATTACAAAATATAGAAGGAAAATTATATTGAATTACGGTAGAAATTTCAATATGGTACGATAGAAATTTCGTTTGAAAGCATTGATGTAAGGAAGGAGAAGAAGAGCATACATCATGTTTCATGTGGTAATTTGAAAGACTTTTTATTAAAATTGAATACTACATTATCTACTAGATTTTAAGAGTTTTGATATAATATCTAGGAATCAAAACGTACAGTAAATATAATGGCAAGTTGGGTAATTTTTCATTATAAAAAAAGGCTACTTCCAATACATGTGGCACCTAAATTGTAGAAAGATGTTTAATCAAAACTCGAAAAAGCATGAATGTTTAATCTTAAAATTAAAAAACACTAGGCATCTGCATCAAAACATCCTAATGCGTAATTTGAATTAACGTGAACATCTGTCTTAAAAGCCAAAACGAATTTCCCTCCCGTAAAGGCGGGAAGTACGTCCTCGTTCCCCCCATAATTTTCCTCTCTTTTTTACCCCTTTTTGTCTCCGTAAGATCACGTTTCCGTTGCACACTCAAACTCTACCAGTCTTTCTCCCCAAATCCCTAAAATCCCTACAAAACCCCCTATTTCAACTTCACCACCCAATTCCAAATCCCCCAATTCACAATTCCCAATCCAATCGATGGCCGATTCAGCTCAGAACGAGTCGCCGACGACGCCTAAACGGCAAGTCGTTCGCCGGAAACTGGTCCAGACCACATTGTTCCCTCTCAAACCCCAGCAACAGCTCGAGGTAAACGGCGATCTGAAGGCCGCGAGAGGTAATGCTGGTGACGACGAATACGGCGACGACGAGGACTTCTGTGGGAGTCAAAGTAAAACGAAGAGGAAGTCAAAGGGAAAGAAGACGCCTCCCGTTAAAGCCCCGAAGAAGGTGAATTTTGTGTATTTTTTTGGGTAATTGATGAGCTTTGTTCTAATTCTTATTGTACATTTGTGATTGGCTTGATTGAATATGAAATTAGTGTTTTTTTTTGTTGAATTAAATTGTTGGTGTTATTGTTTTTGAATTTAGGACGGTAAGCGATCCACGAATGGTACACCGAAGAAGAAGATTAATGGAACTGAAGTGGAGAGTGAAGATGCGCCTCGAGTAGTCACCGATTTGAGGCTAGAGGCTAGATTGAAAGCTGAGGTCAATAATTCTGTTTTTCGTCTTATTTTCTTATCCAGTTGCCTTATATGTACCGGTGTTTCTGCTATAACGCTCTTTGGTATTGCATTCTGCTCAATTCATCTCAACCCATATCAGTATATAACCCCAACTTATTCTTTAATTTGATTTTTTTTCTTTGTTGTTGTATTGGTTGGACTATTAGATTGGAAATTGGGTTATTTAGCGTCATTTTTGTGGATGCTTTGGTCTTTGGTTTGTTGTTCTAAGTGTCTTCTGTTTATGCTTGATCAGGAAACATCACGGATATTTTCAGGAATGTTTTCTGGAAAGCAAATACATCCATTTTTTTCAATTTGTAAAGCTGGAAAAAGAAAGCGAGAGGCAACTGAAGTTGATGGCGATTTGAGCTACGTTGGGAGGAAGGATAAAGAGATCACTAGTGGTCCGATTCATGTGTTTGAAAGGACTCAGGTATGGTTCTTTTGGTTTAGCAATGTGCAGAATGTATATCAATATTGTGTAGCTATCACATTAGCTGTTCTTGAAATTTAATGTTTGTGGCCAGTTTTCTTGCCTAAGATGAATTTTAAATTCTACTATTCAGGATGATGCTGTGTTCCTTGATTGGAGAAACTGGACATTTTGTGAGGACACGTTTATGAAAAGTGGTCCAGACATGGAATGCACGTCCTCATCAATTTTTGAAGGCTCTGTAGAGTGCTTAAATTTTGAGAAGCTTCCCATTGTTTTCCAACCCTGCAAATTATCGACTTTTCAGAATGTGGTATCCTTAGATCAGCATTGTATTCAACAAGAATTCGCTCATGATATATCACCAACAGTCCCTGGCTTCTTAGTCGATGAGCAATTGATGCACTATCAGCAGTCAAAGGAAGTAGAGGTGCATATTTTATTTCAGCACTTATCTGAATAATTTTTAAAGAAACTCTTTTCCAAATCCATTTGCTCTTTCTTTTGTCAGGATAATGAGATGCTTAAGGTTGATTTGCTTTCTCAGCATACCACTTATATAAAGAAGTCAGATATTGAGCAGCAGAAAATTCTCGAGGAAAGGTTGAAGATTTTTTACGTGCATTGTTTGGGAATTTGTATGGTGAATTAAGAACTTTGTGGTCAAATTTTTATGTCAAATTGTAACACAATTATATAATGGTTTCTTATCAATTACAAACCTGTGTGTTGCCCTCGGTTTAAACTAACGTACCAATATATGATGAGATATTGTTCACTCTATTGGTTCATTACTTGCAGGTTGATGTCAAACTATTCCAGTTGTGGTAATCAGCCCACAAATAGCTTATGGACATATAAGTACCGGCCAATGAAGGCTATTGATGTAAGATAGGGATCCATATCTTATTGATACCAAAGTTGTGCGTTTTATAGTTTCTTGTGTCCTACTTTTTTCCTAAGTGCAAATAAAATTCCCTTTCCCCTTCAATTTCCTAATTCATTACTCCTAAACTTATGATCTTCCGATGGCATAATCCTGCAGGTATGTGGTAACCATGAATCTGTGAATTTTTTGAGTGAGTGGCTTCGTCTTTGGTATGAAAGAGATTTTCGAGCCAACAGAGATCTCACTAGGTGTTCTCAAAGTGGCTCTGATTTAGAAAGTGAAGATGAAGAGGCAAGCATGAAGAAGAATAATGTTCTCTTAGTTACAGGGCCAACTGGGGTATATACAAATTTATTTTATCCAGTTGATCTCCTTGAATTTTGTCACCTCATTCTTGTTTCATAATTTTGTGCCAGAGAATATCGAATGATGACAGGGCCTTAAATTAATTAACCTTATCTTTACTCTTGTTTAAGACTAAGAGGATGCCATCTTATTGGTCAATCCTTATAGTACTATTGTTTTGGGGGCTAGCATCTTTAGTTCTGATCCTAGTTTATCTCTATCCTCAATATTTAATAAATTTTTTTCCATGAGGCTGTTTGCTACTGTCACAAAAATCATTATGTACACAAAAAGATAAATTCTATGATGATGCTTTTGGTTCATTTTTGGCGCTAAGTGTAGTTTTTTCATCTTGCAGAGTGGAAAATCTGCAGCTATTTATGCTTGTGCCCAAGAGCAAGGTTTTAAGGTTTTGGAGGTAAGGAGATTAAAATATGCTTGTGCTGAACATACTGCAGTTCTCCATTAACAAACTATTATTCATTTTCATAACATGACATGTTTTTAACTATTGATTAGACCAATATTTTGTTTTAATTTGTAAAATAATCATGCTGTTTAAAAGAGAAATAGAAAAATAAAAAATAGTTGTAGTGTGATATCCATTGTACTAATAAAAGGAAAACAACAAGATATTGCAAATTCTGCCACTGTCCATCTAACTACTGACCACCTTTTACAAATTTAAGGCCTTCATTGGTTCTTATCTCCTCCTAGATATCACTTTCATGTTGGACCATGCAATGCTAAATTATGGTTCTTGAGATCCAGAATTAAGAGTAAGATTCGCATCAAACTGTTAATATTCGATCACTGGATAAGTCAACTTATGACAGAATTTTTGACTTAGAGATGAAGACGTCCTTAATGGTTTCCGTGTACCTCATTTCTCTTTCCTTATAATAAACGAAGCATCTCTAGATTTAGGAAATGCATCAAGGTGCTTGCGCTTGTTTGTTGGAACATTTAACATAGATGCTTGTGGTTGGGTCAGTATATGGTGAAGTTAAAGTTTAGCTTCCTGTTCAAACAATGGAGTTAGCCTCATCATTATGTGGAACTTGATCCAAGAACCTAAAACTGGTGTTTTGTGTAATTTCTCACTATACCTTTTGGATTTTAATAGTATTGACATCAGAGTTGATTTTCGAATATGTTGTCTTACCAGCTCAGTGCATCAGAATGTCGGAATGGGGCTCTTGTAAAACAGAGGTTTGGAGAGGCTTTGAAATCTCGCAATTTTAGAAGGTTTGCCTGTTTATCTTTACATTTGAGTTTACTTTTGTTTTCATGTTCTTAAGCTGGATAATTTAATTGAAGCATGTACTCCCTCGATTTCTAAGTCTCTTATGCCCGAGGAAGTTTATGTTGGGGTTTTCCATCCCATGATGAGTTGTCCCAAGTATATTAGGAATTATAGACTTGGAAGATTTAGTGGTTTTCCCAATTGGAGTTGTTTTCCTAATTGGAGTTGTTTATTCAATTGGAGTTAGTTTCTCAATTGGAGAAAGTTTCATAACTAGGTTCCAATTAGGATAAGTAATCCTTATTGAAGAAGACCCTTATTATGTCTATATAAAGGGGCTATTGTACTAGTTTTGAATTTAGGGAGCAAAACAAAAAATTGTATACCACTCAAGGGATTAGAGTGAGAGAATATTGTAAAGTGTGTGTGAGAGAAAAGAAAAGAGAGAGTGTATTTCTTGTTCTTGTTATTTCAGGTTTTTTCGTCAAGTCTTAATTCTAGAGACTTGGCAAGATTATTAGTTGTACTCATTATTGATATAGTGAAAGATTGTTGTTGCTGCCCCTGGACGTAGGCACATACAGCCGAACCACGTTAATTCTCGGTGTTATTTGTCTTGGTTATTTTGTTTTTCCCATTCTTAAACTCGATATTCTCAACTGTTTATACTGAAGCATCGGCTGTCCTCAAGTTTTAATGATTCTGAGTCAAATTGGTACCAGAAATAAAATATTTGGTTGCTGCTTATATTATGTCATTGATATAAGAAGTGTATGCTTGTCTAGTTGTCCTTGATGACTTATATAGAAATGTTGAGCTTCCAAATTCCAATTCCAAAGATAATAATGCCCAGAAATGAATATTTATCTACTGTGTCTGTGTAATGTAAGAGTGGCCAAATTCCTTTCTTTGTTCTCTTTGGTGGTGACCAGTGATCTCTAAGGCATTTTATTCACTTGGATTTTTTGGTTTTGTTTGAAGATTCTTACATATGCGCTCCTAACTAAGTTTCACCCCACAACTGAATTTTTAGAGTTTAGAATATTGACCAAAGCATCACTTCATGATAATTTGATTTGTGAAATAGCAATTCCACTTGGAGGGGAATTTTAAGATGTTTGAAATTCACAGCTGGAAGTGATGATGACGTATATCACCATTATACTCTTTCCCTTTCATCTGGAAAAAGTCTGTTTCTTATCAACAAAAAAATAGAAAGTGCTGCTGCTGATGATGATAACTGAATTGTTATCACCTTTATAGTTAAAAAGACTACCTTGGGATCATAAGTTATATTATAAGATATGATTTTAACGCAGATGAATTTGGATTGATGCATTTACAATGCCTTGTCAGTGGTTGGGCCTTTCATATTTCGTAAATTAAATTGTCTTTTTGACACTTCTATGTCTCGCTAGAATGTAAAATTATTTTAAATATATTTAGTCAGAGACTCAAAATGCTGTTCTTTTAGTAAGAGACTGCCTGCTGTTGGCAATTTTTGCTTGTTCTCACCTTGAGTTTTGGCCTTTATCATTATTGGTGACTGATTTAAACATAAAATTTTTTTTTTTTTTTCTTCCTTTGTTTATCAAATATACTATTTCCTTCAGATCAGTGGCAAATCCTGAGGGTTCACAGAACAAGTCTATAGTGAAATCCCTGTTTGTCGATGCAAATGGTATGACAGACCTTGAGATGGCTGATGATGTTATTGAATTGATAGCCGTATCAGATGAAGATTCTCATGAGGCAACTGAAACCTCTGTAAAATCCGTCTCTAAGGAGGATTATAGCGAAGTTAAACATCTTATACTTTTTGACGATGTGGACATCATTTTTCTTGAAGATCGTGGTTTCATTGCAGCAATTCAGCAGATAGCTAAAACAGCCAAGGGGCCCATAATACTGACCAGCAATAGTAAGAGGTTTACTGGTTGAAATAGTTGCACTCTTGAACTTTTGTGTTTTGAAATGTGCATGACCTTATAATGATTGTGTTAAATTCTAGGTGACAATCCTGTCCTGCCAGACAGTTTTGATAGATTACAAGTGCGTTTCACGTTGCCATCACAAAAGGAGCTGCATTCTCTTGCATATATGGTATGATTTCTAGTGCATCATTTTCTGATTCAAATTTCCATTAGGGGTCACTTGAAATCTATATGTTTCTAAACTCATTTTGATGTCAATATCCAGGTTTCTGCTTCGGAGAGAGCCAACATACAACCTTTGCTTCTTGAGCGACTTATTGAGTGTTGTCGGGGAGATATTCGGAAGATCTTTATGCATCTTCAGTTCTGGTGTCAGGGTGGAAGTTTTAGAAAAGGTTAGGCTTACATGTTAGTTGTAGTTAGATCTATATTTTCCACATTATTCTGTTAAGGTTTTGTGCAACTTTTGTTGACCAAATCACAATACCTGTGGTATTTCACATAATCTGCAATGGGAAGGTTTCATCCCAATCAATGTCTGGCCATATGAATTCACATGTTTAGTACTTCACTCGAGTTTATTTTACAGATGATATCTAAATTGAGGAGTTAGACCAAGAGCATTATTTGTCGAGGAAAAAGAGGATTCACCCCTAGTCCTACTGATAGCATCGGTGTCCTCTTTTCAAAGTATTGACAAATTCGTGATTTGCTTTCTATTGGAAAAAAAGAAGTGATTGATTGGCTCTGAAAAATCATACAACCATGATGATTGGGGATTCCTTGATCATGTTCTCAATGGAGATAAATATGGTGCATTATTGGGGGATCAAGGACAATTAAATTTTCAGTAATAATTAATAGGAGGTAATGTGGGAGATTTCAAACTACTAGAGGCTTGGACCGAGGAACCTTCTTTCCCATTTTTTTCTCCACCTTTCATGTTTTGAGTAGATTTGGTAGTGAGAGATAGAGAGTGCAACATTGTTGACAGCCTTGTAGTGGGCAAGGGGAGTGCTGTCTCATTTATAATTTGTGGATGACACAGTCGTTTTTCATTTTTGTGGAGGTGGGTGTTTCTATTTTGATAAAAGGTTATTGATGTCTATGGACTAGTCAGGTTTGAAGATGATTTGTTTAAAATTGTGTTGGTGGAGTTAGTGTTGAGGATAGGAAACTGATGTCCCTAGCTAGGTAGACGGGCTGTGAGACAGGAGTGGGCCTATTCACAGTTTGGATCTTCTTTTAAGCAGTGAGTGAGAAAAGGATTATTAATGAGAAATTATGATGCACCGGTTTTAGGCTGACCACCTCTAATTTATTTAGATGTTTAGTAAACTAGTTGTAATGTCAAAATATGTAAGGTATACAATGTTGCCTGAGGATGAATTGTAACAATGAATGTGCGTTGCCTTTATCATTTTTTTTTCTTGTCAATTGCTTTGATAATTTATTCAAGCCAATAGAAATTTCTTTCTTGAGTAATGTTTATTTAGATGATAAGTTAGACACTAGTTTCCTTTTCAACAGATTGGTATACATATACACACAATTCGACCCTCATTTTTTTGTCAATAAAAGTTTATGCCTTGAGAATTCCGTAGAGAAAAAAATAATCTTGGATTTGTCTCTGCAGATACCAAAATGCGAGAGTGGTATGGTTCCCTGCTATTTGATGTTGAGGCTGGCCATCTGATGCTGCCAAATATGTTACCCTGGGATTTACCTTCTCAGTTATCTGATGTAGTAGAGAAAGAGATAACAAAGGCATTATACATGATGGAAGAAAGTCCAAGATCAATGGACGTAATTGAAGAAAATCTTCACGAGATAGAAGTGCAATACAGTATGGACATGCCTTGTAATGGAATGGAAAGTTTAGAGGCCAAGAAGGTAGAAATGCTGAGCAGGAATGGCTCTGTTCATGACTGCTATCACTATACAGCTCAAACTGATACTGCTTCTGAGTTTTCCAACGATTTAGGTACCCCATTTTCCTCGTGTCGGCGTCATGTTCGGAATATGCAAGCTGTTGTAATGTCTGATTCTGAAGATGAGTTTATGACCAATGGATATCGTATAGTTACAGATAACGCTAACGATGAAGTCCTTGGTATTAACCCATTATCTGAGGAGCTACTTATTTTTGGAGCGGCTAATATAGATGGACCTTGTGAATGTTCAGAACTTGCAGACGAGGTGCACATAAGCGAGACTTGCAACTCAGTTGATATATCATGTGTACCGGAATCGTCTTTTGTTCCTGAAACTGAAATTGATAATATGCCAGAATTATCTTCTCAAACAGTGTCTTCTGACCATTTTGCCAACGCCATTAAAAGAGTATCTTTAGACGATGAATTACATGGTGGAGCCAGCAATCTTAATAAACTAACCTTCGTACAAGGTAACTCTGATAAGTGGGGAAGTGGCTGTGCTACAATTGCAGAGTATTCTCACAAGGAGTTTGAGAATCAAAAGGAACATGCGGAGACTGTTGCAAGGGCTTATCAGTTGATGGATGAGTGTAGCCACATGGATTTTAATGAGGGCTCGCGGTTTATACAGGGCCAAAAGTCCTCAGCGGTGACAGATTTAGTACAAGATTCATGGGACAAACTTCGTGGCTCCCGCATTGATCTTAGACAGTATATTGCATTCGAACAACCCAATGCCTCTCAGATTGTCATGCTTGCTGATCAAATGAGCAATTTGATCTCAGAAACTGACATGTTGTTTTCTAAATGCCAATCATTGACAAATGTTAGTGTCAATACTTTTTGGGTTGGATATTAGATGATTATTTGTATTATATATTCATTTCATAATGGCAATTGGTAATTTCTGCAGGATTCTTTTGAACTATCAATGATCCCCTTGGAGGAGTCAGATGCATACAGCTGGTGTGATGAGCGATTATTGTTGGCGTCTACAATTGCACAGCATGGGTTTTGCTTCTATGCAAAACGCATTTCTTCTGTAGGATCAAAAGAAGGTAGTGTAGGGAGGGTGGATTTGGCTGGGGAAATGCTGGCTAACACAGCCAGTACGATGGCATTCAGTAAGTTAATTGGGAAGGGTATGAGAGCAAGTAAGGATTCATCTGCCGAAAGAAATTCAGAGACGTTCCTGCCAAATGCGACAAGGTATTTGGCTCAACTTCCTTGCTGTGGAAAAATGTCTGAAAACTGTTTAAATTCATGATGCTGTCTTGAAATGCTTGTAATTGTCACCTCTTGGATGAATTTTAAATTCATAGGTTCAACTTTTTATTTGTTCAATTTACCTATGTTCACGTTTCCTGACCATTTTTTCTGTAACACGGGCATGCATTAATTTCAATGATTGCAAATATGTCTTTTAACTCATCTAATCACTCATGGTGTCTGCACTGCAGTGAAATCCAATCACGTGTATTTGATGTAATTCAGTCAATTGTACCTTCAAGAACGTACTCAAATTTGAGAGGTGGTGCACACCATGAGTATCTTTCTTCTCTGCGCCACATTTCAAGATCAGAAGCTTCTCGGTTATCAGAAGGAGCTGAGAAGACCACCAGAAGTAGGAGGTATGTACTCTCAATGTTAAATTGGCTTCGTTGCAGCCTTTCAAAACAAAGATTGTCAATTCCCATGCAGGAGTTTAACATAACCGCATGACTTTCTAACGCAGGAGGAGGGTTGCTCCGCACTACTTAAGTAGTGGTGCACTGATGTTATCTCCTGAACATATATCGTTGCTGGATCAGTATGGCTCATACGGGAAAACCTCTTCACACTGACTGGGACGCAATGTCGCTAATCAGATAGAAACTTTAGATTAAGTAAAACTAACATAGTGAGTTACTGTTTCAATCAAGACGGAGTCATCAGCTCAATAAGGCTGGCATTCGCTAGAGTAAAATTTTAGATACTACTGCTATTTATTTTAAGCCTGTTTCAACGTCAGCCAGCATTGCCTTCACAGGAGAGGTAATTATTCTCCTTTGCCTTGGAATATGATTTCCTTCTCAGTTCACCCATTGTAAAGCATTTTAGTGATTGCATTGTAACTTTGGTAGCATTTGGTGCAAAGATGTTTGGTGCAAAGATGTTTAAAGGAATACCCGATTTTTTTTTATCAGAGGTTCAGTAGCACTTTATATCTTATTTCTAGTACTCAAAACTTAAAACAAATTTTGTGTAGTCATGCTACCAAGTTAGTTTCACGTTTTCTTTTAAGAAAAAAGAGAGACAACTGGTGGTAAGATACGGATATCCACCATTTCGAGCTTGGAGAGGTTATGGGAAATTTCACCATGTTCATGGTTACAGTCAAGTAGACTCATTAACTCGGAGCATCGAACCTGCAATCTCACATTTTTTTGTTTATAGGCAAGTTAGTTTGACGTTAAACATGTTGTAAATGTCCATGAAGGCGGATTTCTGGAGTTAGTCTGGCCTATCGATTGATAAGCGTCACTCTTGACATTGAAGGCATTTTTTTTCAACTATAAGCATATTAATGCATAGTAAACCAAGTTGTGTCATCCTCCCTTTAATTCTGTTGAAAAATCTCAATGAACCACAGCAGGTGAAACACTCAAAGATGGGGGAACGGGAAACCAGCAACTCTCACTCAACGTAGGATAGCTTTCAATTTTATTCAATAGGATAGGTAGTTATTTGGCCAAACAATGATGGATGAATATTGAGGTAAACATAGTGACTACCCTTTTCAACCCTTATTTATTGATGTATTCTCATGGTAAATCCAGCTAATTCACTTTTCATGATTCACTAAAGGACATCAGTCTATTTTAGTTTTACTTTAGTTTTTGTACTAGTGGGGAGGAAGACTCGAATTTGGGCATCTTTGAACATGAAAAAAATCAAGTGTCATTGAACGAATAGTCATGTTCACTGTTCTAAAAATCTTCGACTTGCGCTGCCTAGGCCTCACCTAGGTGCTAGGCAGTTGACCACCGCTTCGATTATTCTCTAGGCGTTTAAAAATTAAGAAATGGCGCCTAGAACCGCCTAGCATGTCTAGACCCATCTAGGCATCTACCTAGATCGCGAATCTCACTTTGACAAAAAATAAATAACTTTCATTTTGCGTTATATTCTAGTACTTTATAATCTATGTCTTTCTATTTTTCAATTGATCTATCCCAATGGAATTATGTGTTTTTAAATATAAGCAGACACTTATTTATACGATATATAGTAAATTAACTTAAATTTGTCTAGGTGGCTAGGCCCCAATCCATCGCCCGATTAGCGTCTAACGTCTTTTAGAACCTTGGTTATGGTACATATTAAATGAGTGATTCTTTCCACCTTCGTCATTACTTTTCTATATCAATTTACGTAGTAATGAATTAAATGACAACAAAATTGAATTTTTTACTAAGCCTAAATTTAAAGTAAAGCTCTCATCTATAAATGAGAGACTAACAGAATTAAGAGCACTTCCAACGTTGGCTGGAGTTCGGGGGACATGCCAGCAAATAGGGCCCGAAAGCCCGACCTATTGACTACAGCATGTGGGAGCCCGAGGGATAGGGCAGGCTCGAGCACCAGGCCTGTCACGAATTGCTAGCCTGCGAGCCCGAAGGCTATATGATGCAAGGCTGACGTCAGCCAAGCGTCAGCCCCTTTTTTTATTTGATTCCGTCAGATGCGTGCACTGCACCCGTGCGTGGGGGCGTGTCACCCGACATGTTTTCAGTGAATGGGGCCCGTGGCGCAGTTTCAAATTGTTACAATTGGGAAGCCACGTCGCTTCCCATGGTTCGTTGGATCTCAACGGCAAGAAAATGTGGATTGTCAGATTTGCAACAGTAAAAAAAAAAAAAAAAAAATCTTATTTAATATCAACCGTTGGATCTAAGATCAACGATTGATATTATTCTCCTTTATAAATTTAAAAAAAAGTTTTAAAATTCAGAAATGTTATTGTTGTGCCACGTGGCACAATCTGGAGTGTTGGAATTCAATTTTTTTTTAAATCCAACGGCAGAGATTAATTAGTTGAATAAAAAAAATTTTAAAAATGAATAAAAATCCGAAAAAAAAATTGTTTTTACTTTTCTATAAATATCTTCTCATTATCATTTACCTTACACCACAATTTCATATTTTCTCAACTACTTTAAACCACATTCTTATCTTTCTCTCAAAGTTTCAATCTAATTTTTTTCAACAAAATGACAACTGATGCAGGTACAAATTGGACGCTTCTTGAAGATGTTGGGTTGTGTTCTAGCTGGGTTGAAGTTACTCATAGTTCGCTTACGGGTAATGAGATGCAGTTGCGTGAAATGTGGAGTCTTATTCATACCATTATCTTGAGAAAATGGGTGGAAAAAGAACCAAAGAATCGATGTCCAGTCGTTGGAAATTACTTAGCCAATCGTTTAGTACGTGGAGAGACCCCTTGGCACAAACTAGTGCTAATCTTCGAAGTGGAGAAAATTATGCGGATCAGGTAACAATATATTATTTATTTATTTGTACTATACCCAAATTTACATTATAATTATTTGTTTGTATTATTTATTTGTTACCTACTTTCATTATAATTATTTGTTTTTATTATTTATTTGTTACCTACTTTCATTATAATTATTTCTTGGGGTGTACTATCCACACACCCCTTTTTACTTCTCACACACCCCTTATTAATTTATACTCCTTAATCTTCTTCAATTCATCCGATCCAACGACCGAAACTTAGAAAGGTGTGTGAGAAGTAAAAAGGGGTGTGTGGATATCACACCCCTTATTTCTTATCCTGCATTGTGTAGCAACTTCAAGCACAAGCTTGGTATGGTGCCAAAACCAAAAGCAAAAATAAATCATTCAACCGGTGGGAATGTTGGAATATTGTCAAAGATTGTCCTAAATTCAAAGTTGTGCATGTCGGTCCAGAAGTTTTCATGAGCAGCACCCCTCTACACTCTACACCCGTTCATGCCTCACTTGTTCATGAAGATGAAGCAGAAGAAGTGCCCGAAACGCCCCCCTGAACAAGTGTCGGGATCGACCCGTTATCCAATTAGGCATCAAGGTAAGAAGGCTTCAAAGAGAAAATGGAGTGCTTCCAAGAATGATTATGCAAAGTATATGGAAGAACTTGCTCACCAAGGTGAATTGACTTTGGCGCGGGAAATGGCGAAATTTGAGGCTGATAAGGCTAGAGAGGAGGCAAAAGGTGCAGCTGTTGAGAGAGCATTTCAAGCTAATGAGAGAGAAAGAGAGCTACTTAGGCAAGAAAGGGAACATGTTAGAGAAGAAAGAATGGCTCAACGAGATCGTGACATTATGAACACGCCTTTAGAAGGGAAGTCTCCAAATTCTAAATATTTTTGGAAGTCAGAGAAAGCGGAAGTGGTGCGAATGAGGCGTGCAAGAGAAGCGAGAGCAAGAGGAGATGGTCCTAGCACGACAAGTGAAGATCATCCTAGCACCACAATTGGTTAAGTGATGACGAATAGAGTATTTTTTGTAATCGGAGCCCATAATTTTCCAATCACTTTGGGTTGTAATTTCTTATTTATTGAATAGAGTACTTTATATTGTTTTCCAATTTATTGATTTTAGTACTTTATTTAAACTAAGAGTATATTTATTTAATTTGGTAACTTATTTATACTAATAGAATCTTTATTCAAAAGACATTTAAACACACCAAATAAAATCACATAAACATACCAAATAATAAAAAACTCACTAAATGAACTAAAAACACACACCAAATAAAATTAAATAAACACAAAAAAAAAAAAAAACAAAACAAACAAACAAACACACTAAATGAACTTAAGTATCTTGAGCTTGTTTCAATTCTCACTGATGCTCTATCAAATCAATTTGCCAGGCATTGTGCATATATGGCATTTGAAGGACTTAAGTATGAGCCTTAATGTAACCCTACATATATGGGAAAGCTTTCGGTTTGTCCTTCATGAGTTCTTACGGCAGTCTTTGCTCCATCATATAAAGGATATGTGTGATGGAGCAAAGACTGCCGTGAGAACTCATGAAGGACAAACCGAAAGCTTCCCCATAACTGTAGGGTTACATCAAAGTTCATCCTTAAGTCCTTACCTTTTTGCATTGGTAATGGATGAGTTAACAGGACATATTCAAGATGATATTCCTTGGTGTATGCTTTTCGCAGACGATATAGTGTTGATAGATGAAACTCAGGAAGGGGTAAATACGAAGCTTAACCTTTGGAGAGAAGTGTTGGAATCTAAAGGTCTTCGCCTAAGCCGATCAAAGACAGAATATATGGAGTGCAAGTTCAGTGCAAATAGAGGCCAAAATGAGTTAGGGGTAAGGATCGGAGATCAGGAAATACCAAAGAGCGACCGCTTTCGTTACCTAGGATCTATCTTGCAAAAGAACGGAAAATTAGATGGAGACCTAAACCATAGAATACAAGTTGGATGGATGAAGTGGAAGAGTGCATCCGGCGTGTTGTGTGATCGTTGTACGCCATTGAAGCTCAAGGGAAAATTTTATAAGACCACAATAAGACCAGCGATGTTATATGGCACAAAATGTTGAGCGGTGAAGCATCAACACATACATAAAATGGGTGTAGCGAAGATGAGGATGCTTCGTTGGATGTGTGGGCACACGAGAAAGGATAAGATTAGGAATGAGGATATCCGAGGTAAAGTAGAAGTAGCTGAAATTGAAGGAAATATGAGAGAAAATCGGTTACGGTGGTTTGGACATGTGCAAAGAAGGCCTACTGACGTTTCGGTTAGAAGATGTGACTACGGGACAGAGGTTCAGAGTCGAAAGGGTAGAGGAAGACCTAGGAAAACTTTGGAAGAGACCTTAAGAAAAAACTTAGAGTACTTGGATCTAACGGAGTACATGACACATAACCGAGCGCAATGGCGTTCTAGGATTCATATAGCCGACCCCACTTAGTGGGAAAATGTTTTGTTGTTGTTGTTGCTCTATCAAATCAATTTGTCGGGCATAATGCATATATGACCTTTGAAGTGCAGTACATCGTTGAATGATCAATTCATTGTAACGTCCATCTCTTTATAATGGCTCATGTTACACGGGTTATTCGATGGCATCATGAGCACAATATATACGTGTTCTTGAATTGTTCATCGTGTCTGGCTCATA